GTATTACATGTTGCTATATAAGTAGGAAGATAGTAATTTTACCACTTTTTCATTTATTATTCTACAATTAAGTTTATAAACAACGAAATCAGAATAATTATTAAATTATCACATAATGGCATTCCGGACGAAATTTAAGTACGCGAATGACGTCTTTAAAACCTGCAAAGATGAAGTTACGCTTTGTTTACGGGCATACGGAATTACATAAATTTTCAATTGCAAGACACAGATGGCGATATGTGTAAAAAACGTACGTTTCCGAAAGTAGGCAAAGATATGTAAACGATTTTACCGGCGCTAATTTTCGCCGGACTATTTGACATGGAGATCATTAAAATGAGGCCTTGTGTTGTTTTGATCGGTAAGCGGTACCAATCGATCATGCAACATGACACTCCAATGTTAGTACTCTACGGTAGAAGAAATTAATAATAATCGAAATTGATCAATGAAATTTCATATATATCACGAGTGGAAAAATACGGCGCAAGTACCTTTTCTATTAGTAGATCGCCAATGTAGCACAACAAGAACATATTAAACGTTAAAGATATTAACAGCATCGAGTACGTGACCAGACCAAGCTTATTATTTTGTTGCCAATCCTATTAGAGATATAATAATATATTATTATATTACTAGAGATACAAAAATATATATATTATAATAATCCAGAAATTCATAGAATCAGCAGCAAACGTACCGTTATGCAATAGTACTCGACCAAGCATATCACGAACGTGGAGCCGAAGAACTCGAAGAAGCACACTTCCTGCAGAACCGTTTCAACCATCGCAGAAAATCTACAATAGCACGCGATATGTTTCTGATCAGTGATAGAGAACGGTTTACTTTACCTTCGTCTTTGTACTTTAATATTTTCGTATGACGTTGTACGATTCTCATCAGCCGTGTGTTCGAATTGTGATTTTTCTTCGAAAATTTCCCATCGACCAGATCGTCTAACTGAGACATGATGACGTCGATCTGTCCGCAGGCGTGTGTTGCGAAAAGCGCAGCCAATCCACAACACCCACACGTCACAGCGTTGAGCAGAAATGTGCATAAACATTGGAGAACGTATACAGATTCGTAGATGGGGCTTCTTTGGACATCGAAGAAACCGCTATACGTTGGGTACACTAGCATTCTGATCGTACGATTATTTTCGTCTACGCGCGATCCCATTGCGTATTGTAGAATTGTGATGTAGCACATGTTGCCGCTGTACATGAACACGACACTGTAAATGGTCAGATCTCGTCCGATCTTCCCGTATTTCAGCATCAACGTGCGATGTCTTTGATGTTCCACCTGTCGATTGATTTTTATTAGATTACGTCTTCCTAATGCGCAACGAAAAATTCATTGTCATCGAACGAGTGGCTCAGTGGAGAAGTGGTTACGAGGGGAAGAACATCTTTTAGAAATGTTGCATGAGAAAATATTATATTAAGCATAGACATAAAGAACTTAGGAATTCACAAGGGTATTCAGCTCGTCTAATTTTCGCTTTTTATTATATCTGCTTTCTGTATGTTTCATTACAATTCCATTGTTTCTGTCGTTTCACTCACTCAATTATTCTCCGGTGTGAAATACCGACTGTGCAAATTTCCTTGTAATTCGTGTAGAATTCCTCTACAACATTAATAAGACGTGTCACTTTTTCACTTAGCCCCTCAAATATACAACGCCTGACCTGCTCCCAATCTGTATGCAGTTGTTCGATACAGCACTTGATTTTCGATTTGCGCACTGCCAGCGCCCAATACTTCATTAGACAGATCAGTGAATAGCAAGCCAAACCTAAGAGCCGGAGTCTCAACAGAGGATCTTTCTGTTCCAGTAGAATGTGTAGCACGCACTGCACTTCGATGAGAAACAACACTAAGTTACTCAGTACGATCGCGATTCTCGGTAAAAATTTGCCGATTCCGTTTAACATGGCAGGCCAGATCCCGATGGAATTCAGGATCCATTTCAGATGTTTCGTCACGTAAACGATGTCCTTCTTGTAGTTCGGATTTCGCGGTTGATGCATGTTCGCGGGCAGCTCGAAAACGACTGTTTACGACCACCGGCTGGCATTGATTGCACGGTCGTCGGGCTTGCGCTTATGATATCGCGTGCGTGCATCTGTTGTAAAACTTTGAATCGATTGTTACTCATCAATGAAGCGTGCGTCTGAAATTATAGCAAATGGATAGCTGCTGGTACTATAGGATCTAAAAACCTCCTCTCAGGACGTACATAAGTGAAGGGTGCAATTAGAAACTTCAGACAATGTATATTGCCGTGTGTACAAGAGGTATGCCATTTTCTATGTTGAAAACGATCGGAAAGTAACGTAGACGCTTGACAGAAATATTGCATCGTTCTGGAAATAGGAAAATGATGATTTCACAATGTACTTCTTTATTTGTTCTTCTAGAATTAAGCGTAACAATAAAACAACGGGAACAATAGAATAATTATTGTATTACTGCATGAGGGCATTCCGGACGAAATTTAAGTACGCGAACGACGTCTTTAAAACCTGCAACAATGAAGTTGAACGTTCAGTTTACCGGTTGACGAGATTGTCCAAATTTTGCAAATTCAGAAACTTCCAATTGATGAACCTACATTTCCGAATGTGGACAGAGACAAGTGAACGATTCCACCGGCGCTGATTTTCACCGGGTTGTTTGACACGGCGATTATTAAAATGAGGTCTTGACTGGTCTTGATTGGCAAGCGGTACCAATCGATCATGCAACATGACATTCCAACGTTCGTACTCTGCAGTGCAAGTAGTAGCGTAGTATAATAAACAGCAGACGAATCCGACCAATGAATTTTCATACCTTTTCTATCAGTAGATTGCCAATGTAGCACAACAGGAACATATTGAACGTGAGGGACATTAACAGCATCGAGTACGTTGCCAGGCCAATCTTGTTATTTTGTTGCCAATCCTACTAGAAATGAAATGAAAATACCGTGAACTCGTAGGTGACTTCCGCAACAAGCCGGAAGCAACGAGAACGTACCGTTATGCAATAGTACTCGAGCAAGCATATTACAAACGTGGAGCCAATAAATTCGAAGAAGCACACTTCCTGCAGAACAGTCTGGGCCATCGCAGAGAATCTACAATGGCACGCGATATGTCTTTGATCAATGATGGACAACAGTTTGCTTTACCTTCGCGTTTGTACTTTAAAATTTTCATATGATGTTGCACGATTTCCGTCAGCCGAGTGTCCGGGTTCTGATCTTTCTTGGCGAATTTCCCGTCCACCAGGTCGTCTAACTGAGACATGACGACGTCGATCTGTCCGCAGGCGTGCGTTGCGAAAAGCGCAGCCAATGCGCAACAACCAGCTGTCACGGTGTTGAGCATGAACGTGCAAATACATTGAAATACGTAGACGATTTCGTAGATGGGACTTCTTTGTACGTCGAAGAAACCACTGTACGTGGGATACACTAGCACTTTGATCGTATGATTGTTGTCGTCCATTCGTGATTGTCGTCCTATTGCATACTGCATGATTGTAACGTAGCACATGCTACCGCTGTACATGAACACGGCGCTGTATATGCTCAGATCTCGCCCGATCTTCCCGTATTTCAGCATCAACGTGCGATCTCTTTCGAATTCTACCTGTCGAATGATTGGTTCTTATTACGTCTCCTTGATGGAAGAATTCTCTATCGTCTTGAAACAATAATTCATTATTCGTGAACAAGTAGCTCAGTGGAAAAGTGATTCTTCTAACTTCGGACTTCTAATAGGTGAAGTTGTAATAGATAAAATTCGACTTTAACACAGTTTTATAGTACAATTAAAATATTGTACTATAAATTGGTGCAAAGGCTTGGCAATTCATATTCGTTATATTTCTGCTATTTTTACTTTTTAGATGTTTCGTTGTAAATCTAAGTTGTTAGCCAGTAGAAAAGTGATTCTTCCAATTTGGGAGAACTATAGGTAAAATTCGATTTCTACACAAAAATCTCTCAAAGTATTTTACTACAAATTGGCATTACTACAATAAAGATTTGAAGATTCACAAAAAATAATCGTTATATCAATCTTTTTATTTTTTTTCGATGATTTTGTCATAAATCTAAGTTGTAAGTGAGTGG